ATCCGTCTAACTTTTTAATAGTTTCTTTTCGTTATAAAGGCGCGTTATTCTTAGCAAGAAAAAAAATTAAAATTAAAAATTGTTATTTTAGCTCTTTTAGATTTTAGTATAGGCTCTTTAAACTTAATCTAAATTAGTAAATTCAGATTGCCGGCTCTCTTAGTGTTAGTTTTTTTTTAGATATATTTATATTATATTTAATATATACAATATACAATATATTTACAATATATACAATATATTTAATATTGTTTAGTAATAAAAAAGAAAGCAGTGACGACTTGAAAAAAAAATAAACTGTTTTACCAAAAGAGAAGAGCTCTCAAGAAGACAATACTCGGTGCCATGTGTGAATAGTCTTTTTAAATTCGGCTAGTATGCTTTATTCAGCATACTGATCAGATATAGTTGCTACTTCTCATTTTTAAACGTAAAGAAATCGTTTGAAGAAAAAATATTCAACTTCAATAAGGATAACATACGGATATTTTGAGGACTTTAATTAAAATTTTTTTTTAAATAAATAAAGAAATGTAAAGATTTTACATAACAATACATAAGATACATAAAGAAGAAATTTCGAACTTAAGAAAGATATTTATGTATGTACTATAATCGATTAAACTTAACTGAAATAATAATGAACTCAATACGAAGGAACTAGACACACATGCTTAATATCTATCAGAGATAAATAAAGTAATCATATTAAATATCAAATCAGGAGAAAATTAATAAAATCGAACGAAATCAAAGGATATAAGTTGATCCACTTAAAATCTGATAAAAAAAAAGAAGTATTAAATATATGAGAGATGGACATTATTTTCATATCAAAATATGAAGAATATAAAAACATAATTCATAGAAAGAATAGTCTTCTTTATATAAAATATTCTCTTCGGGTGTGTCGTGTATAGCAAAGCTGCCGACTCTACTATTCAGAAGCTACAAGTTGCTCAAAGTCAGGCTCTCCGAAGGCTCTTCAAAGTGCCGTGAACATACGCACGAATGACTTGCTAAGAGCCCTAAAAATAGATCCGGTCAAAAAACATATAAATGACAGAGCTTTGAAGCTATATGCGAAAACCGACAGGCTGTCCTACTTAGCACTATCTAATTTCAGAGTAATCACTAACCGCACGGGCGGTACGCAGATCTTAGATCAGTCATTGAATAATCACGAAGATTATGAGGAATACATAAATTAGTCACTGAGATGGGTGGGACTCTGCAGAAACTCCCCAGCTATCAAACAGTAAAAGTCCCCAGATGCACTTACTCGGAAAAAGCAATAATCACATATAAACATTAATACTTGGCAACTCTGTCTGTATTAACAATATCAGTCCACCAACTTTAAAACCAAACCGACTTCAAACAATGATCGAAGCGAACTCAGCACAGGTTCGCTGTTGTGTTTTGTTGCGTGTGATTGTTGTCGAATAAAACTTGTTTTACTACAACAACAACAACAACAACAACAACAACATCATGAATTTGTTGTCTTAATTTTTTTATTTTGGCAATTTTTGCTCACAAACATATGCGCATTTTAATTTTCATATAAAAACAGAATTTTCAGCTTTTCGTCTTGACTGATTATGGTGCGGTGAGACAAGTTTTTTGTTGGCCAAAAATGTTCCTTCGGCGTTGTCATGTCTGTCGATTGCCGACTGTGGTTATTTGTATTTTTGTTGTACTGAGTTGTTGTGGGCTCCTGGAACGAGTAAGTGAGTGGGTGGATGGCTTTTTGTTGGTGTTATTGCAACGATTATTTTTCATATATAATACTTACATATATATGTACATATATTAATACTAAATAAAAATTTTATATTTAATATGTTATTTGCTGCATATATTTGTTGTTATAGTAATGACATATGTGTGTACATATATATATAAATATATTTATTTACTAGATAAGTATAATGATAAAATCAAACACGAATCGCATATGCTGTGAGCAATCTCATTTCTTGAGTGGTTGTTAATAAATAAATATACAAATATACATTAATTTGTGTATATAATATAATCAAATTTATATATTTTAACTTTACTTTAAAAATTTAAAATAAAGAAAATATTTAATAAAATTTTACTATAACTTTAACAACTTCGAAAAGAAATAATATATTTTTATTATTATTATTATTACGATTTTATAAATCAAATAGATATCTTATTATTAGATTTCATAAAGTTAATATATATTAAAATAAATTTCTTACGTTTTCACATTAATAATAATACAGTTAGAGTTAAGAATATGCGAAATACTGGTTCCTAGCAGCACTGCTAATATGACTGATCTTTATGCTGCTAAATATTCACAACTGAACAGAAGACACATCACACTATTCAGTGAATGAGAAAATGTCAGGTTGTAAGAATATACTAACTTCAGGTAGGGATAGGAACTCCCGGTTTAATAGTCACCTGCTGACCCAGATCTAAGCACGACAGTCACAAAGAATGTGAGTAGAACTCTTATTAATCTCCATGTAGAGCTTTCATTCTACCTACTTAAATAGAAGCATTCTATTAAGATGATAACGCAGACCATGGTGATTTGTTGGATAACACGCCAATAACCTCAACTTTTTCTATTAAAAGGGAAAGCCCTACCATTATTCCAGGGACGAGCCTGCTGACGACAGTGTTAGTTACCTGAAATATCGCGCCTATGGTAACTTCTTTCGGTTTCAGATGTCTATCACAAACCTTGTTGTGTACCAAATTGTTTAACAATAAGAGTTTGGCGAAACTAATAATTTCACAATTCGATTTAACTTATAATTATTTATTGAGACATGTATTTCTTTCAAAAAATTGTTCTATTTAGTTACATATTACGTTGCTTTGGTTTTCCATTGATTAACACATCAGAAATTCATCAATGATTGAAAAAAAATGCTCAACGAAGACAAAATGTTGATTTGAATAGATTTACATTCATTTTCTTCAATATGTGCAGCAAAGGTAGGGGCGGTCGATCGTGGGTGTTGGTTTACTTTAAGAAACTTGAAAAACTTATTACTACGTTTTGTAAGCACTGAAACCATATACAAGGTGTTAAAAAAATATAAATCAGTAAAATATAATAATAAATAATATGGTTACTAGTATATACAATAACAATAGATGTAATGGATATTAATGTACGTTAGCATTTACTTTGTAACTTGTCATCTTTAGTGTGGGTGTTTTTATCTATCTAACTATTATGCTCTATCTGTAGAGCATAAAATATAACTCTTCTATTATACATAAAACCAGCATGTAGATTTTGGTTTAGTACACGTAAGAAAATGTCCGACGGAAATATTGCTTGACAGACCATGAGATGGAACGCGATTTTAGGCGATCCAATGCGCAAGTTATGACATATGAGTATAAGAGAGCAGTGGAGTGCAAACTGATGGATGGAAGTTATTCATGGAACGACATCCATGATAGCATAGGTTCCAGGAAGATCTATTATTACATATTACTTCTCAAATTAATTTAATTGGAGAAACGACACATAAACGAAACAGATGGAATCATATATCAAGAACTGACTTTTAACGTTAGCAGTTGTGTAATATTTGTGACTTAAGTTATGGCTGTAAAATAAATCGATCCTAAAAATTTCTGCCTTTCATACTTTTTTATTAGCTATGTATAAGAATATTTTTTGTATATAAAACCGATCATTTTTTTTAATATATTGATATTTTTTTACACTGCAAAAATGCCTTTATTTTGATAAAAGATATTGAAGAACAAAACATAATTCCTTACTTACCTAAATTAGGTGCACACTAATATATTTAAGTTATTGTGGACATATGTATTCAAGTCAATTCCGAAATGTTTACATATATGCACTGGCGATTCTCTGTTCTGCTTAAGTTGTCAATGCTGGGTAAATTTGTTATATCGTTTCTCATGCTTTGCGATTGTTCCACAATGTTTCTTGTTACAGATTTATAAACAAGCACCTTATACTATATATCACACTTCCGTATTACACATTTCACAAAGATCTATACAATCCATAATAAATTGTACTAACTTGTTTACATATACATAAGACACTATTTTTTAAATAAGATTTATTTTGGTGTGAACTCGAAATATCAAAAAGATACACTTGCATATATACATCATGTAAATAGAAGCATTTCTAGTCTTCTATTGTCAGCAAGATTTATGTTAATGCTGGTGATGGCTTGTTTGTTTGTTTTTAATCACTGGGAGTATCTACGAAACAAATTGTAACTTTATTTTTAGTGCCTGTGAAGATGAGGAAGTTTGTTTATAGGAGAATGTGTGTCGAATTGCTGCTATATATAAATATAAATCCACAAAATAATGTTTTATAATAATTATTTATATGTATTTTGATGGATTGATATCAATAAAAAGTGTTTCTTGTATAATGTAGCTATTTGTGATAATATTAAGCGCAAATTAAATTCATAAGATCAAAGGTAAGGGCGTTATTAATTGCAGGAATAGTAACTTAAATCAAGAAAAGACTATATATATATATAGTTAGTTTATAATTGCATTTTAATTAACATTACATTATAAGAAGTAATTTTTAGGAACCAAAAGGCACTTAATAGTGAAAGAATAGAAGTACATATATTATTGAATTAAAATCCTTAACTTTCCTTTGTGAGAGATATTTGTGTCATAGAGCTAAATTTTTTAATGTACCGCAATAATGTAATAAACAAATAGTATATGATATAAGTAAAAGCTATATTTAACATAGTATTTTGAATCTAATAAAGTTTTTATACTTTTTTACTACACCTAGCATATCTGATTTTTAATATTCTAAAACTGCACAGTATAATTTATTGTTAAAGACAAAATTTCTTAGAAAACATTTATTTCACAAACGCTTTTAAAATTCTGTGTTTTTAATATGATTTTAACATATAAATTGATCTTACAGAACGTGATTTTTACTTATATTCTATATAAAGAACTACATTAAAAAATTTGTAATAAGAGTACATACAAAAAGAAATTTAATTTGACAATGTTGATTACTAAATGCAACAATAACAACTTTACATAAATAATATTACTTAAAAAGTGTGAAGTGTAAATCCAAAGAGCAGTACACTATTTAAAAAAAATCTTAAACCGTTAAAACTTTATGGAAATGCCTTTACTTTTTTGGTGGGGTGTAGTACATGCTATTTAAGAAACAACGTGTTACATCTCCAACAACAGAACGATCAGGTATAGTTTGAGCTACACCATATATAGCCATTTTTCCTTCAACTGGTTTTCCGGGATTTTTCATTATTTCAGCAACAGATGAGCGTAAGTCATTAAGGAATCTATCGGCAACGCCTGCGTTCGTATGCATATCTGTTATGCAAATATGTATGCTGCAAATAGTATATACAATTATAAATTAATTTTTAAAAAATATATAAGTAAAGATGCCAATTCTACCCACCCCGAGGGAAATTGTAATGTATTTAAATTCCAGCCTAATTGAGTAAGTGCATCCGAAAGTCGGTAAATATCGAAAACTTTTGAACCGATTGCTATGACTGATGTTGCTGGTTTGCCAAATACAAAGATACTATCAATTTCACGAATTCTGAAAATGAATGAGATATATTAGAATTTTATAAAAATTATAAAACACAACAAATATCTATAATATTACATAAACAATTTGTAGAATACATTTATATTATTTATTTTATAATAATTTATTAAACAATATACGACATTGTAATAAATATCATTTGGAAATATCATTTGGTTTATCTATTTACTTCAGTTGTAGTTGTTATTCGGGAGGAAGGGAAAAAAATACTCATCTACACCGTCATGGCCAAATATTCGCTAAAAGGTATGCATCCACTCAAGACTAATGCGCATTGTCTAAAGTTTGCGGTTGAAGTGAATGTGTGCTTGATACCAAATGGTTCAGTATATAGTACTGAATGCTCTACTGTCGATTTATCTTTAGGATTTTTATTATGTAAAGCTATTAACTAGTAAGATTATCTACAATCTAAAATATTTGTCAAAATATTGACATATTCCTGTTGTAGATTTCTAAAACTTCTAAATTTCTATTATTTCTTGAAATATTATTCTTTTCTTACTTTCGCTCTACATATCGTGAGGTATCTACAATTCGTTTTGTAGCCTCTAAATAACCATCATGTCCAAAGTTCATCATTGTTGCCCAGCAAGCCGCAATAATACCACCAGCCCGTGAGCCGTTAATGGTAGGTGAACCATAAACACCACCAGGCCAATCAGTAGTAACAGTAAACTGATGATCGCGGTATTTTTTGTCAGCATATAAAATAATTGAAGATCCTTTTGGTGCAAAACCATACTAAAAACATAAATTAACATTAATATTTACTATTCGAAATACCATATTTGTACCTTATGAGTATCGGCGGATATGCTTGTAACGCCTTTAACAGAAAAGTCAAAGGGTTTGATGGCATAACCAGCTTCTTTTGTTAAGGCAACCACAAAACTACCAAGACAAGCGTCGACATGTACAGGAATGTTGTACTTCAAACCTAAAGCTGCTATTTGATCAATATCATCCATGGTGCCATAAGGGAAATTGGGTGCAGAACCAACAAGCTGAAATTAGATAAAATGAGTTTAGTTTAATACTAATATAAGTGTAGTTTATCTGTGATACTAACCAAAATTGTATTACAATTAATGGCACGTTTCATTGCTTTCAGATCAACCTCAGTAGTCTCCGGATTAACGTTAACATAATTAATGTGTATATTGAAGTACTGTGCCGCTTTATCGAATGCAGCATGTGCTGTTTTTGGTACAACCATATTTGGTTTTGTGATTCCTTTGTTCTCACGTGCAAAATCACGGTAAGCTTTACATGCCAATATGATGGATTCTGTTCCACCGGTTGTCATCTGTATTGATGTGCAAGATTAATTAAAATATTATTTAATTTATATCATTGACTATATACTTACAGTACCACAAGAATCTTTGTTTCCATGAAAAAGTGCACAAGCCATGCGTACTACTTCAGCCTCCATTTTACATACACCAGGAAAAATATCGGGATGCAGTGGGTTTGTATATGAAGCTTTACCATATACTTGTGTTATTATTTCCACCAATTCTTCTTTGAAACCATAAACAGCACCAGACACACGTCCATCACGCCAATCATAACGACTTATTTTTAAATGTTCGTCAACAAGTTGAAGAATTTGTTGTTTATTTAAGCCCTTCTCTGGCAGCTCGAGAGCGTAACTTAAGTCCCCACAGCTTTTGATCATTTCTCCTTCAAAATCTTTTGTAGCCCTAGCCATTTCATCTTCAATTTTTCGTTGAACAGCAGGTATTTTCTTTGCTAAATGAAAAAATCGCCGTTTGGTGCGTGTCCAGACGCCTACAAATCGAAGAAGCATGAAATTAAATTGGAAAAAATAATTTGAATAAAAATGAAATTCAATAAAATCATTAAAAAGTTGTACATTGTGTTTAGCTAATCCAATCAATGGTTAGACTATGTCTTAGAGTCGGTGTCATGGACGACTCTGATTGGTATTACTAGTTTCAGCGTTAGAGCCTACTATAAGGAAGACAAACTAAGGTGGACTTTCCAGAAAGCAGTAAATTGTTTAGGCTACAATATATGGGGGAGATCAAAAGAGAGCTGGTTCCTCTTTAATTCTAGGCAGTCGGGGTGTCTTATAAATCCTACTTTAACAGGGTATAGGCCAGTAATAAAGAAAATATAAATAATAATAAATAAAATACTTTCAGGGAAATTAAACTTGAGAGTTTGGTAAATGAATATTTTTTTAGTTGACCGTGGAAACGATAACATTACTAAATACTTAACTTATCTAGGATAAAAGTTCTTTAATAGTTAATAGAAACTGTATGGGTTCTTTTGATTAAATTTGTAACTCTGTTAAAAGTTTATAATCGTGATACATTAGGTTTTGTTATTATAACAGAAGAGACTTGTAGAGTACGTTTACATGCCATACATAAGCGTTGGAATACGATGTGGGGAACCAGATTAATAGTAGAATGTGACTTTAGTTGGAAAAACTTTAAATGTAAGAATAATTCTGATTATAACTAGCCAATTCCATAAGATGGAATCAACATCGTGTACCTTTTGTGGGCATGAAAACACGACGTCATTGAAAAATATATAGAAATCTTATTACGATATTAATATGATAACGTTGTATAGATTAAAAACTACGCAACATCGTATATGTAGCATAGATATGAAATCTTCAGGGTATTAGACGACATGGTTGACGACAGATATCTTGGATAAGAACAATTTAAGATGAAAATGGAGCATTGAGAAACGAATTAAAATTAATGACTCGTAACAAAACTAACTGGAAAACAAACTTCCAATAGAAGTAAGAATTAAATAATATAACCGGCCATTTGTTGATTTCAATATAAAAACTTTTTTGTGAGTTTTAAAAGTATTCTAAATGGTTTAGTAAAATAAAAATATATGGATTAATTTTTTTTTAAAGAATTCTTTTTTTAAATAAAATACTGATAAGCATAACTGTTAGCTACTGTCATAGATAAATTTGTTTTATATCTACTTCAAATATTTAAAGCATCAAAACAAAGATATCAAAAATTTGCCATAGAAGCGCAAATCCATACCACTGATATATTTGAATAAATACTTTATTAGAATTCGCTTGACTACAAGAGTTGGTTTTCCTAATACAAAACAAACCCGAAAAATAGATTACAATCGTATTTATAGTGCACAATATACGTACTAATAAAGATAATGATTATCGGCAAATTTAAATTTCTTAATACGAGCCACGGCGACAGAGGCCCAATGCTAAGTTGCAGCAAAAGTTTTAAGACATTTTTTTTTAAATAAAGTATCTTCCACTATTTTCAGATAAGATTTAGGTTTGTCTCTTTTATTTTATATTTTCAGTATTTGAACTGAAAGTCATTGTATTAGATCAAATAAATCAAATCATAAGTCATTGGAGTCAAATAACTGGAAATTATTGACTGACTCAATGAATTGCATAAAACACGTAGTAGTGAATTCCGTGAAATATTTAATATCATGATGACAAGTCCAGCAGTAGGTAATTACTTTTCAAATTGTTATAATATTACAAGTACAGCTAAACTTCCATAACTTGAATTTCTATAATTCGAATTTTCTATAACTCGAACTACATAGAGTGCACTGTTGCACCGTGTGGTTTAGAGAGCAAATTACATATAATTACTAAAAAGGAAGTCTTCATAAGTTGAACCTTTTCTCTGCAAAATGACACTTCGAGTTATAGAAGTTTGACTATATTAAGTAATCGATGCTTAAAAAATATGGAACACAGATTTTTTTTGCTATTAATGATTTTTAATGTAACCAAAGAATACTGTACTCAGTTAATGATAAATATTTTAAGTTTAAAGGCTTGACTCCTCATCTAATCGGAATTATATAGATATAAATATATGTATATATAATTCAATTACAATTTGCAAAACTTCAAATCGTTCTAGTGAGATTTTTTTATTATTTATTTCTGCTTTAATATAGAACTAATAAGAATGTTTTACAAACGTGAATCACAGTCATCTAGTTTAGAAATATTTAATATTTTAATATATTTCGTATAAAAATATATTTTAAATCAATAAAAATTTAAACAGAATTTAAATTTTTCAAAGTAGTCTGACTGTTCCTGTTCCGCCAATAAAATGTTATCTTAAACAAATTTTTATGGTTTTAAAATGTTGTAATTAAACAATTAATTGCGCTTTCAATAATAGAGTGAATCAGACATCAAAGTACCTGACCATTAACAACAAAGGAATATCAATCAAGTGCAATGAACTAAGGAACAATGAAATGGCTTTAAAAAATATATACATAACATACGTGTGTATATAACAAATAGTATAAAGAAAAGTTGTTTTAAATTTAAATGATACCTAAGAAAACATATTTAATCACAAATCACCATAAATTCGCTTTTATGCCAGCCGCTATAGACAATAACAGCTTTGGTACGTTTTGCAGATTCAATAAGCAGAACCCAGATGATTTATATCCACTTTGATATCAAAGGCTAATTTATATATACATTTTAACCTAATATATATATAAATATATATATAACTACTTTGACAAAAGTGGATACAAATTTAATGTGAACTGCATATTTAATCTGTGTCTTAATTTATATGATTCTGTATTGGCTATGATAACAGCAACCTGTCTAGAATTGGCTAATAATATATATAAACAAAAAAAAATATGTATATATATACGTAATTTTATATAACATATGTTTATATATATATATATATATATATTTATATACATTTCTTATGTTTAAAGGTTTTGAGGTACAATATGATTTATATACGATTTGGCTTAAATGTATAAATAAACTGAAAGTGTTATAAGCTTTATCTGTTGGCTTATATTTACCGAAGATTAACGAGATTAAACAGTTTTATTTGATAAGAAAGTGAACCTGTTTACAGAAATACAATTTTACAAACTAAACTGTAAAATAAAATACATATTCAAAAAAAATGTTTAGTTTATTGTACAATAATTATACTTTGAGCTTTTATTTATATATGTATATATTTTTTAATGAATTTTCAAACGAAAAGAAAGCGAAAGACTTTATTATAAAGTTCTGAAGCAATATCACTAATCAATATATTACAATATACTAAATACAAATGCGTTAACATAGTTATAAATGTTTATTATTGTATTATGGAAAGTGATAAGCTGCTAGTATCTTTAAAATGTTTTATAATCTTGATTAAAGGATTTAGATTCCATATATTATATATATAGATTCTATATTTATACTTAACATTGTGATTTGTATTTATATAAATACTTGTATTGTATAGACCGGCTAATAAATATAACTTTAATAATTCGAAACATAAATTTCACACAGTAAAATACATGCAGATTCATCCAATATACCAACACCTAATTTAAGGAAATGATAAAGGTCTATCCTCACCTAGTGTATATAATTAAAGTCTAGTTCAGTTCAAAGGAAAATAATACATATATATATAACACGTTTTGAAATCTTTGTGGATCGAAAGCATCTGTGTAATACCAACATAAGTACACAATTTCGTCCTAATAATACGGCAAGGTCTAAATTATATTCAAATTTTCGAAATATCTATTCATTTAAAAAATAATAAAAATATTTTTATTTAGTTTTAAGTTTATAACTGTAGATATATCAATTAGAAAACGAAACTACCTTTTATCAAAATTTAAAACTGATAAAACTTTAACCATTCATAAAAATTTTGTAATTCAAAAATTTATTTTAATTCTACGATAACAATAATGAATTACAAAATACATAGAGATTCTTATTTCACATATATATATATGTAAATATTTTATGTGGTATTTATGCTGAATAGTGGTAGTTCACTTATCACATCACAGAATTTAAAATCGGTGTAGTAAAGTCTAAACTATAGGTATACCGCTCTTTGAACTTACTTTATCACTATTTATGAATTTCACTAAGACTATTATGTAAAAACTATTTATATATATGAATTTATTGTATGCCGCGATAGCTGTAAACTTACTTTCATCTTGATTAATGAAATTCCAAAACCATATCGTACTAAGCACTGTGGTTGCTGTAATAGTGGCAACTTGCCATGGTTCGCGGTTGACAAACAAGCGATTAATCCCGCAAGTAACTAATTTTGTGCAATCACCACCAGAAAATGGTCTCATTTTCACACTTGGGAGTTACGTGTGTTTCCGATAATTCCGATAATTTGATCCTAATTTTAGTTATGGGACTGTCAATACCCACGGCACGATTATAACTAAATTAAATCATACGTTGTTTGACTTTTGCAGCATATACGCTATTCGTAACGTACTATTTGCTCTTATCGCAGTTTTAATATTTTCGACCGATAAGCAATTGCAGCACTTATACAAAATTGCTTTGAAGATTAAAAGCGATGACGCCGAGTAAAATGCCTATTGACAGCTGAGCGTTAGTTAATTGACAACTGATCCAGTATATTTCTAGTAGTTGTGTTGCTTGTAATAGTTTTCAATGCCTTTGTAATATTAGAAATACATTTTGTAAAAAATCAGTTAAATTTTGAACTTGTAGGTCACTCACCTGTTGAAATTTTGCATTTTCCTTTCAATGCATTTATTAGCCACTTTGTTACACTATCTGTGTTACCAGTTTGTATAGCAGCAAACAACAACCAAACAGGTTTATTTCATTACCAACATTGTTAATTCATTATTTTGTGGTTTGTTTTTATCGAAACAAATTGTTTTTACCTTGGCATTAACCTTTAAAACATTTTCATAATCAAATTTCGCATTCATGCATTCACAAATACTGTACCAGCTGACATGGTACATAGCCGCTGTTAATGTTTACATTGAAGTAGTGCACAGCGGTTACAGTGTAAGGAAGCCGCTGCATTACGATAATAAATTAACACATGCTGTATAAAAATAAAATAAAATTATCTTATAGTTATAGTTATATTTTATTAAGCTATCTAAGTTTATTTAAGAAGTTAAAAATAAAAAACATAATAATATCTTTACAAGTAATAAAAAACACAATAGAGTAATAAATTAGTCAATTTCGTACTGGGTATCTTTTACCGGACAGCTGATTTTAAAAACAAAATAATTTTTAACAGAAATTACAAAATTTTTTTCTATTGATAAGTAAACAATGAATGTTGTTCAAAATTTACGTTGTATACTAAGAAATGTAAGTTAACAATGATTATGTGCATACAATAAATTCTAATTAATCATATTTATTAAATTAATATACGCGGATTAGCAACAGGTTAGTCTCATTTCATAAACGTTTCCACTGGTAAAGTTTATATAACAAAAACTATCACATCAATTAGTAAATATAGTAAATAAATATAATATAAATAAATATAACACATAAACAAATTGAAATTCCTTTTTTTCAGAAGCTTTTGCAAAATGCTTACGCCACAGCTTCAATACGCGGTGTTTCTTCCTATACCGAAATGACGCAGTGCGATGGTGTACGTGAAATAACATTAAATGAAGCGAAAACACGGAATTCGCTCTCATTAGCAATGATGGATTCAATATTGGAAAATTTAACAAAAGATATAAATAACGAAGAGTTGCGTTGTATTATTCTATCAGCTAATGGGCCGGTATGGTCGGCGGGACATAACTTAAAAGAACTTGTGAGTAACGTTAAAATCGTTACTCTGCAAACTAAGAATTAAATATATATATATATATATATTTCAATTCCAGGCCAATTCAGATGAGTGTGAGCAGACTGAGGTTTTTAATAAATTAACAGAAATAATAATGAATATATATCAAGCGCCTGTGCCGGTTATTGCAAAAGTCAATGGTCTTGCTGCCGCTGCTGGTTGTCAATTGGTGGCATCTTGTGACATTGTTGTCTGTTCTGACAAAAGCAGTTTTTCGACACCTGGGTAATACTTTAAAAAGAGATTATTTAATGCTTTTTATAAACTTCTCATTATATATGTAGGGCTAATTTTGGTATATTTTGTTCAACTCCTGGTATTGCAGTGTCTCGAGTTATGCCTAGACTGAAGTCTTCCTATATGGTGTTAACTGGTTTGCCCATAAAAGCACAAGATGCAAATGCAGCTGGTAAGCATTTTACGATTTAACATTTTGGTTCAAATTTTAAATATTATTGTTGTGGTTGTGGTACAGGTTTAGTAAGTGTTGTTGTGCCTGAAAATCAACTTGATGAGGAAGTATCTAAAATTGCAGCATCCATTATCAGTAAAAGTCGTGCTGTTATTGCTTTAGGAAAGAGTTTTTACTACAAACAATTGGGCATGAATATTAGAGATGCATATACTGCAGGAGCTGAGGTGAGAGAAAAAGCCAAATTGTTATTTACATATTATATCTAATTATCGCTTGAATTTATACGAAGTTTTCTATTCTTTATTTAGAAAATGACTGAGAATTTGAATATTGCTGATGGGGTGGAAGGTCTGAAGAGCTTCTTAGAAAAACGTAAACCGAATTGGACTCATAAATAATTTCGACATACAAAAGAGCAACAAAAACTGATGTATCAAATCGGAAAAATAGAAATGCATTTATTTTGTAATCAATATTGTATTGATGCTATAAATAAGCATCAACCAATACAATAAAAATAATTAAATAAGATTATATAGATCGCTGTGAACCATTCATTATATTTTCTAATAATAATTATATTTTTGCAAAAATTGGTATTGACCTTAATTTTTGGTAAGTATTTGATTTCTCCGGACTTTAGATCGGTGTTGATTTATATTGCTTTGAATAATATGAATATGAATAATATGTAAATAAAGTAAATGAAACCACTCATTTTATTTGTTAATTTCAAACATAAATAATAGTTTATTTAAATAAAACAAATATACGGTCTACTTCGGTCTAAACCATTTTGAGTGGTCTGAATAACTCTGAAGATGGTCTGGCATCAAAAAAAATACTCCACGGGTCATTTTAGAGTACTGGTTGACGAAATGTTGGAGGTAATTTTAGATGACATCTGCACAGAGTTAGTAATACTAGACGAATAAAAACAAGTTCAGTGAATATAAATCACATTATTGTGGTGGTGCAATCGTATCACCGCTCTGTCCAATTAAAACCATTGCTAATATGATAGCCACATCACATTACTATAGTGAAAGTAATCATGTGGCTGTAACGACGTCAGTATGTGCCTCTAGAACAATTACAGATTTAGTTGTGAATTTTCATGAGCTAAAATGTAATAATATTGTTTGTTGATATATCAAAGAAGCAAAAAAAAGAGTCTTATAACTGAAGAAACCTACTATTACTGAAATATGTTTTTATAATTTTAACAAGTTCATTATTGAACTATCCGTACTGTTAAATGGAAAGCTTGAACTAAACATATGACCGATTGGAAAACAGTTTTGTTTGACATACTGAAAAAAATGTTGCCAAATGAGGACTACGAATAGAATAACACCCGATTTTTTTCTAATAAATCAATCAATCGCTAGAATTGTAAAATTATATATTGCCATCAAAATCAAAATAAAAACTAACATTTAATATACAAACTATTTTACTTTTGTTTTTATTTTAATTACATTTTGCTTTTAATTTGAGTAGTTTTTATTTAATTTTATAAAGACATACTAAAAACGGACAGAAGATTATATATATATGTAGAGAGGTTGTTTATTTATTAAATTGTTTATGTTTTCATAGAAACAATAGAAACCGGTGGCATCACATTATTTGCAATATTTGTTTCCTCCATACAAAAATATAATATTTTGTTTTATACATTTTTATACGTATATATCCGTATGCGATATATTTCTTTTAAAAACATTAAAACATATTTATATGAAAAAAATAAAACACGTCTAATATTTAACGCGTTTGTAACCAGAGATAGCAAACATTAAGGTCGTGTACGGTAAAGTAGAAAAAATAAAACCATTTTTTTTTAAATAATTTAACAATTTATAGTATTTTCATGGTCTTGTATTCAGTGTATATAAAACCATATATAATATACATGTATATAAACATCTTGGTAGCTTGGTGTATATAATTTTTTTCGCTAGGTATGAAAAGTTCATGTACAGCCAATATTTGTCATAGTGCACGGCTAGACATAAAGACTTTAAACCGTTTTTATGTATTGCGTGGTTAGGATGATACATCCCCCAATATATTATAAATAAATATCTTCATAATACATCATGTATTTATATATATGTATATAAATATGTTTATATACCAGAATGCATCGCCTGCCAATTTCCTATAGGGCAGCTTATTCTTCGCTTATCTTGAATCAGCTGACATTAGCAAATAAAATTTTAAGTTTATTAGCTTCTTGTAAAATGATTTAGCAAATTTAATTGTTTATAATCAAATATGTTCAAAATTTTTCGTGCAATAATAAATAATGTAAAAATAATTTTTTTATTTATGTAATTACAAATAGTATTAACTTTTTCTTAAAGCAAAAGTGTGCATTATTTTTAGGAAATAAGAGATAAGAGTAGTTTAAATAATAGTTATAAAACAAATAATTGAAACATTAAAATACAATAATTATGTAAACGAATATTTTGTAGAAAAAGCTGACAAATGTCTGCATATCTACAGTTGAGCGGACGAATTCGTCCTGTACAATTGTGACACAGTGCAAGGGTGTACGTGAAATAACCTTCAATGAGCCAGAAACACGCAATACTCTTTCCATTGGAATGATGGATACGCTACATGAGAACATAATGAAAGACTCAAATGACGAAGAATTACGTTGCATAGTGTTATCATCAAAAGGCCCAGTGTGGTCTTCGGGACATAATCTGAAAGAAATTGTAAGTCGATTGTGATATATTGGCAGTAATGGTATTTATGGTTAAAATAATATTTAATTTCTAGGCTGCAAGTAATGCACAACAACAAATGGATATTTTCAATAAATTAGCAGCAATAATTTATAGTATACACAGTTCGCCGGTACCAGTTATAGCGAAAATAAACGGTCTCGCTACGGCAGGTGGTTTACAATTGGCAGCATCCTGTGATTTGGTTGTGTGTTCGGATGTGAGCAGTTTTTCAGCACCAGCGTAAGGAAACTATATGTGTATAATCCCTGAAAAAATTAAACTGGCAGATATATTTATTATTTTATTGTTAGTGCGCAAATTGGCATATTCTGCAATACTCCCGGAGTTGCTATTTCACGTGTGATGCAACGACTACAATCAAATTACATGCTTCTAACTGGACTGCCCATAAGCGCACAAGAAGCTTATATTGCAGGTTTTTTAGTTATTTGTTTTGTTTTAGTTAATAATTTTATTAAATTTAAACAAATAGGTTTAGCTAGTAAAGTCGTACCTGAGGCCCAATTAGATGAAGAGATGTGTCGAATTACTAATTCCATAACAACGAAAAGTCGTGCTGTGATTGCTTTGGGAAAACAATTCTATTACAAACAACTCAATATGAGCCTTAAGGATGCTTACGTTGCAGCATCCGAGGTGGTGTAATTACCTTGAGTACATTAAATTTTTTATTACTTTTTTTTTTTTGTAGAAAATGGTCGAGAATCTCAATTTGGATGATGGCAGGGAAGGTGTTAAAAGTTTTCTGGAAAAGCGTGAACCAGTTTGGACTCACAAATAAAGTTAACTTTTAAAATATTTGTAAATTAAAAGCTAATTATCTATGAGATCGAAGATCAGTGCATTTATTTTATATATACTATTTTTGGTGGATGTATTTTTAATAATAGTTTTATTTATGTATATGTATCTATGAATAAAATGTAAATGTATATTTTGTATATATACAAAAAATATATAATTATAATATATTTACATTTTTACTTGTTTTAAAATGACCTGTACTGTAAAAAGCTTTATCTTATTAATACTAATGTATGACTATGATGTGGACTTAATAGGTTATCATCTACAATAACTTAAAAATTGAAGTGAAGGCGATCATTATAATCATTTTAATTAGAACATAGTGAATTTTCTTGTAAGTTTTATATATACAAGTAAGATTCCAGAGCAAACAGGACTATATATTCTGCACTGACATTCATAGCATTTGGACTAATATAAGCGAGTTATTTAAAAAAGGATAAAAGAAAAAATAAATAATGGGATAGTTATAGCAATTGATGTGATTGATTACTGGTATCTCAATAATAACTCGGTAGCATATATCGGGTACAACAGCAATTCTTTGAGGTACGTGTTTATTCATTTAGGTAGTCAGTTTAAATCCACTATGTGTTCCAAAGCCCACGTGAGCTTTGATACAGGTTAGAGTCGTTCATATGCAGACCGGAAGCACCCCCAAAAGAGACGCACTGGTCTACGTAGAGACAACGCTGGGAGGCATAACTCTTCAATCAAGTAAACCAATCTGTCAAAACTACAAACTTGGTTAAGTCTTTAATTTTATAAGATGACAGCTCTGTCAGGAACAGTCAGGTATAAGAATAGGTGGGACCTCTTAAGATTTCAAATCGTTTTTTATACAATGATGCACATTAACACATGACTAGGACTACACTTTCCTTCTTATACCCACGACGAAAATCTCGATATATGTTATCATCAGGCAGAGTTAGTCTCATAAAATGTCTCCGTACTATGCAGTGATCTGTTAGCACTGATACCGTGGTGCTAAGCAGGTTCCACTTTAGTTGAAGCAGCTAACTGATACACTTCTTACCCAGTTAATCGATCGAGTCTAGTGGATCTTGAGATCTGACAGCAAGTAAATGTAGATGATAAGATATAGATGTAGTTGCAATTAGGTAACTAACTTAAGCACACATAAATACATTGAAGTCGTTCTATAAGGTGGTTAGGTCAAAAGAGTTAATAAACAATATGGGTACGTGATAGTAATATAAAGGACCATTCTTATAAAGGAGCATAAAACCTCAAATAAGACTAAAAATTCAGTATTTTCTGAAAGATTTTTGTGCATTACACGTATTTAGATGTACAAATAATTACATTTCAACTTGCATTAATGGATCCCTTTTTCATGGAGTTACTGTCTTATTTTAATTTTTAAGCAAAACACCATAATATTTGTTTTTAATATTTATTGATGAATATCATAGAAATAACAATGTAGCAAAATATTTATAATAAAACCTGTAGCTAATAGATTGTCATTTAATTATTTTTGATTTATTTTTGTTTTCAATGTGTACTATTGTTGTAGTTTAAAAGTTTTTGTAGTATATGAAATTGTAATTTAAATTGTAAAAGCGTTAAAATGTGTTCGTTACGATTTTAAGTGTTGTGAAGTGAAATTAATTGTGAATTTTTTGATTATTGTAAATTTTTGTAATTTATTGTGAATTCTTATTGTGAATCGTAACTTAGTGTTGTTGAGTCTTTTTTACATTTTAAACTTAATGGAAGGTAAGAGCGTGAATAAGGTAAAACCTAAAACTTCTTCCCAAAGATTTGTTCTAAGTTAATTTCTACAAAACTGTAATAATAATATTTAATAATATTTAAACTGTCAATATTTTTTTTTATTTCTTAGTCCTATTTTAAATTACAGTAAATTTTAGAGTACTTAAGAATTGTTAAAATTCGTTAAATTTTTGTTAAATTAACTGATTATAAATTTCAACAATTCGTATTTATTTTATTATAAGGTATTATGGAAACTTGTTTTATTGTATTATGTGTTTATATTTAATATATAAACTCTAGTTGAACGTTTTCTTATGCTGTATTAAATTCGTTTAAATCTTAGAAATGTATGCAAAGAGAATTATTTTAAGGATGGAAATTATTTTCATATTCATTATTCTATAATATTATTTTATATGTTATATAATAAGAGAATGGTGCATATATATTATTAAAAGTGCAACTACTCCCAAAACTAACCCATTAACCATTATTTGTATGTTATAAGATATATATGTTTATCTACTCCCGAAGACTACGAACCAAATCCCATTTCAACTTAACCTAAAAATTATTTTAACTTCGACAAAAATTTGTTGGCATTTTTAAATGTTTTTAAATGTTATACGTAATACAAAAAAGGAACAAAATTTTGTTTAAAATTTATGTTTATGTTGTTGTTTGTGTTTATTGTGTTTTTGTTGTTTTCATATGTTTATATGTACTATTGAAATATTAGTTTGAAAATATCTTGTAGATTGTAGAGTTGCGATTGTGTGATATATTTATTTGAGCTTAAGTATCTATTTTGCTGTCTCATTCCGTTCTTAAGCCTTTACACTTATCATGCCTTTTTAAAAATTTGGAGTTGATATTTAAACTTCAGTAACTGGACGCTTTTCAACCCAAGCTTTAATTGGTTCCAAAGCGTTGATGGCTTCTACAACACCGCGTAAAGCTGGATATGGTTCCAAAAGATCGCGCTTTACCATGTAGTTCATGTAATCGATAATGCCAGCAAAATAGACGTCAGCCCAGGTGAGCTAAATTGTAAAAATTTATTAAAAATAAGGAAAATATTAAATTATTTTGTAACAATATTAAAAAAAAATTAGTAATATGTACTTTAGAAATGTATAAAACGTACCTTGCCCAATGCCAAATGTCCATCATTATCCTTAACAGTCTGTTCCAATTTCTCCAAATAAAATGGAATGACTTCAGCATTGAGTGTCACCAACTTCTTCTCTTTGATATCATCCTCCGGTTCATATGAAACGACTGCAATTTCTATTTATTAAAAATTAAAAATAATTAAATAACATGTAACATGCAAAAATCACACATTGTTCGGTACTTAGACGAAAATCATTGATAGTGTCAACGACAATATCGATTTGCAAATCTTCCCATGCACTAGCACCGCAAAGACCAACAGTTTTGGCCAAGAAGCGTGCCATCGAAATGCTCTGATGCACACGTTTGCCATCAACTTCCAATACAGGCATTTGCCCCATTGGCATAGCTACAAAGAAGAAATTACAAAATATAATGAGTATTCACCCCAACATAATATATAATGGCATTTTGCCTTCGCGTCTTTCTGAGATTTGTCTGCACTTACTTGGTTTCAATGCTGGCCATTCATCACGTGTTACACGCACATCTTCATACTCAATGCCTCCATAGGCGAACAAGTAGCGCAATGGTTCGGCCAAAGCTTTTACATTAAAGTAAAAGAGCGTGTATGTGTGCTTAATTGGTTCAGCTGGTTCAGCGGCTTCAGCTGGAGCTGCTGGGGCCTCTCCCTCGGCTGGTGCGGCGGGTGCCTCCTCTGCTGGTGGTGCTTGAGCTTCATCTGCCATTTTTAATTGGTTTCAACTGTAAGAGTTTAAGAAAATATTTCTGTTAATAATTCTAATAAAAATATTTGTTCACATTTTTTTTATGTTTTGAAATCTAGCAAAGAGATAAGAATTTATAGCTTTACGACAGTTTATCATAGAACTTAAACGTGCTAAATTGATAACCTGATAATTTTACCATAAAGTGTTAGCACTTTTTTTTCGTTTTGGCCATATATAGCAAGCATGCTTGCTTTTTTTGCTACGTAATTGTCAATCAAGTAGAGAACCTTATATGGCATTTGTTTGCTTGTTAGGTATGGTTTTGTTATCGCTAGATTTATTCTAGTTCCTGGACTTATCAGTAGATCTCTCAAGCAAACACATATTTTAAAACTTTTGTTGAAAATGGTAGGTTTATCAATTCAACATGAATTTTAATAACAAAATTATTAATATCAAAATATTAATTATTAATAGCAATAAATATTATGTGCTTGCATTCTTTTAGAAAACAAAAAGAAAACAAGCAGGTTTTGTCAAGTAATTAGTGGGCTTAGTATAAGTACGGTGAGAATGAAGGTTTGTTTTTGAGGACCTTAAAAAAAAAATAGTTATTTCAATAATACTCTGTTATCAAAATATTCCTTTAAGGATATGGTATACAGACAGTCATATGACAAATAGTCACGGCAATTTTACGCTCTTTTTGGTCAAGACCAAAAATCATGTTATACGGAAAGTCATATCAGAATAATTATTTTTCCATTTTTATTATCATTTTGGCACTATTTTTGTGTCTAAATTGAAAATATATTTATTTTATTTTTGTGCAAATATGTTAATATATTTAGATAAATATACACATATTTACTCTAAATAGGTGACAATTCTGAACAGTATTACTGAGCAACACCGTTTTGAATAATGTGACGTGACACAGAGAGCCTCGTCACTGTGATCAAATTTAAAACTAAACTTCTTTCTTTCTCTCATTTTTGATTTTTTAAAATACACTGAAAACAAGAACCATTTTAAATTTGACGTGACCATGACTCTATATAAAATGGCTCTAAGGATTTTATATGCTTTTTAATTCATGGGTCTGAATTAACTTTCGTTTTAAAACCCATTTTATTAGAAGACTTCCTATATACAATGCAGGAAATATCGGGATAAGATATAATTGCAGGACTACTTTTGTATGATAATTCTGTTTTAGTATCCCAAAACAATTTAAAATTTATATTAATTGAAAGTGTGTTTCATATGATCGACTAATTTATATAAAATCATTAAATAATTGTAGTTTTATATAAGTTAATCTATTTGATATTTTGTGATTCCCTTTACGAAAAGTGAATTATTCACTCAGTTTGGTTGCTCATTTGAGGAAGTTGTGGGTCATTAAGCGAAGAATTCTTTTAGTCGATTTAGATCTTTCGTTTATCTACGTTACGAATCTTAAAGATATTTGCTGAATTGAGAATATCATAAAGAGTTAAGCACAAAGAAATTAAATTCCCAAATATGCAGATATCGTCTTATGCCTTTCTTTTTTATTATGTGCCATAATCAATTTTAATTAAAGTAACGGCAACGGCAATGGCAACGGCAACGGCAGCGGAAATGTGAGATATTTTTAATGATATTTGTAACGCTCAGCAAGTCTCGTCGCTATACGCCTGCTTATGTGTGTATGTGTGTGTGTGTGTGTATCAGTAGCCTTGTTATGCGCATCCTCCCACGAAACTGCACCCATTAAAAATATTTTTAAAGAAATTATTATCTTTCGCTTTAAATGAGTAATTGCTGCGAACTTGGCCACAGCAATTTGAGGTTGTCGAAGATACTTGAGCGATTGTGGAGCAGTAGACGACTACGACGACGACGACGACGATGAGAAAAGTATTTCAGCACGGAAACTGCATGGAAAGGGCGTTGGCGCTAATTTGCTGCTCCATTGATTTCGCGCGTAACTGCAATCGCGACACAGAGCCGCACTGCGTAGGATTTCTATTTGAAAGTCAACAGTGAAAACGCAACACAAGATTGGAAGCTAAAATAATCGACTAAGGTTTTATGTAGGCAGCGCAGTTAAATTAAGTGCAGTTAATATATGCATAAAATGTTTTTCCTACTCTCCTACTCTTACAGTTTTTAATACGGCATTTGTGCCGGCGAATTGACACTGAAAAAAGTAACCGGCAAATAAACTAGTTTAACTTGAATTCCACTGCATTTCGCAAAAATGGAAAACCAAAAAAAAAAAAAACCAGTCAAAAATTACGAACTAAAAGCGGTAGAATTGTTTTTGCTGGAGTGTATGTCAGATTACACCACTAAGGTGATCTTGTTTGGATTTTTGTTTAAGAAAGATTTTTGGTCCTTTTCACTCTTATTATTTCCAATCCTTCTGTCACTTTTGTACTTCAAAATTGTTACGTTGAATTTATACTGGTTTCTTTTTCAACTTTTTCTTCTTCTTCTTTTAAATATTTGCCTTCCATACTTTTTGCACGCGTTGCTTCCTTTCGCTGTTGGCAACTAGCCCATTCAGTCAACTACTTTCAGAGCTTTATTCCTTTTCTTATTATGCAAAATTGCTTCACTTTGTTGTTGCTTTTGTTGGTGGTGGTGTTGTTGTTGTTATTGTTCTTGTGTTGCGTTTGTTCTCAAATTGCAAACAACAAAACACAAAATTTCTTTTGCGAATTTGTCAATTAGCAAATGTTTTTTTTTTGATTACTTTTTTCTGCTCGCAATAGAAAGTTTAAAAATTTAAATTTAAATCTCAATAAAAGCAATTTGACTATAAATTTGCATAGTAAATTGTCGTAATTCGATTAAATTATATTTAATTGAATTTATTTATATTTTATGCTAAAAGCTTTTCAGTTTTTAGATATTTTTTTTTTAAGCAAACCGAAGCATTTTAAATGTGTGCGAAACGCTTAAATAGTTCAAAGCAAAAAAAAAGTTGAATAAAAAACACTTAATAATATTCGATTAGTTAATATCGGAACTATTTTTAGTTAATCGTTGGATTTTTCTTGGCAATTGGAGACCAACACATTTATTTTGTTAAATTATTTTATTTAATTTGATTTGGAATTTGTCGCAAACAAGTGGGAATGCAGGCATTTCGTTGAGAGGTGAGTTTGTTTAGTAGGTTTCTGGGTCAAGGACTACAGATGAATTGTTGTGTTAGAATGGAAGTAAGGCAGCTTGTTTTTCATTCTTACCGTAAGTAGAGTTAATATTATATTAATCATAAAGGATAATTGCTCAAATCGAAAGAATAGATGGTTACGTTTAAAATTGGGAAACAGGTCCTAGCTGGACTTGTTTCTACATTAATAATTCGAAATTAATCATCATCATAATTTAATAATTGTAATAATTTAATAATTTTAATATCTCAATAATTTAAGTTGTTTAATAATTATAGTACTAAAAATTCTAAACAAAATTATGTTAGGTGAATACTATTAGTGACAAATTCACTTTATTAAGGCCACTAGGATTCATTCTGCGATTGTAGGATTCTAGCTGACTTTCTACTAACTGCTACATTGTTTAGTATATTTGAGAAATTTGTCTATATACCTTATATATATTTGTTAGATATTGTAGAAAATGATGTTGCACATATTTTTCCGCAATCTTAAAAAAACTTTTAAATCATGTTATGACTAAACCATTTATAAAGTTTTTAATTTTGAATTTATTTTTAAAGGATATAACTAAACACATATCAAATCCATTTAGACCAATAAGATCTGTTAAGTGGTTGCATGATGCTAGTGAACTCTCTACTTCCTGCAAAAAATGGAATGATATTAAAAAACGTTGGTTGTTTATAATATGTCCTCCTGACATGAATTTTCTATTAATATTTAAGTCTATTAAATAACACTTAACCAGAATCACAAGTGTTTTAAAGTTAATATAAGTCAACCTTCGCACTTTGGCCCGAAAAAGTAGACACATTGCCATATAAAAGAAATTTCTTGATGTATGCTGGAGTTGCCCTTATTCTGTATCAACTATGGTACCGTTTTAATAAAGAGTACAATGTCTACAATATCTATAACAGGTAGACACTTAACAAAAGGAGAATGTAGAGTAGATAAAACAGCTTTAATAAGCGTTGGCTGATGACAGTGAAGACAAGTTAAATTATTAGTTTTGTTTTTCGCCTTCTACTTATGATAGTAGTTGTTGGAGTCTCTATTAATCGGCTCATAAAGCATTGTTTTGTTAAAACAGCAATTATTTTGGGCAAGGCGAATTCTTTTAAATCAAGTATATCTATTTTAGAAACAAGAACAAATAATTTCATAAATTAATCAAGATATAATCAAGATACAATTTGTATCGGAGATGTAATATTAATTGATATAGTTCGTTTCTTTTAACTACAAACAGTAATCAGAAGCATTTGTAAAGTCTTTTTTTCTTTTTTTAAGTTTTAACATTTTTAAATCATTTTTGATACAATTGAAGACAATTATAGAATTTTTAGATGATCATTCCAATATAAAAAAGTAATTATTTAATATACTGTGTAAGTCCTTTCCATTTTTTATTAACGCAAAATTTTATAGAATTATATTTCATGCTAGTACTATAATTTGGTTTATAAATATTTATATAATAAATGTTTTAAATATTCTTTATAAAATTGTTGCAACTTAAAAAGTTCTCAACTTAAATTGATATTTGAAAAATTATTATAATAGAAATCAAATTGTGAATAAATATAAATCATGAAATCTATAAAAACAAATTTATTATTTTTATTTATGGAATTAGTTAATAAGAAATTTGTTAAAAAAATGTACAAATTAAATTTCGAACAATTTTCTATTATTTCATAATCATTATGTAAATGATTCCTCATAATATTTTGTAT